TGCGCTGCTGGGCCTGCTCAGAGTGCTCCTCCCAGGGGACACCACCTTAATGTAGAGGCAGCAGAAGGCAGAGGAAGAAGCACTAGCTCTTTCTGGAGTTAGACCTGGTTTAAATCCTACTTCCACTATTTTATAAGTATGTCCTTTAACCCCTCTGAGCCTCCATTTCCTCATCTGCAAAATGAAGGAAACAATGAATTTGCAGAGTTATTTTAGGACTTAATGTAATTCTGCATTGAGGAGCTGGCATGCAGCAGATATTCAGTACAACTACAGACATTTATTGGGCCTTTTTAGGTTGGGTATTTGTCACTGTGGTATCCCCACACCTGACCCATGCCACGTCCATAGTAGGTGCTCAGTAAACGCTTGATAAATAAATAAATAAATAAACAAATATGAGCTTTTGAGGAGCTCAGACAGATGGAGGCAACTGGCACGTGCTCATCATTACTATAATAGGGTAGGTAACAGTCCTGGGGAAGGACAGGGAAGGACTGGAGTTGTGGGCCCCAGTGGAGTCCTGAAAGATGTGTAAGAATCAGTCAGGGGGACCAGAAAATTAGTGTAATGGCTAAGTCGCTGAACTCCCATGTAGTCAACCATGGTTCGAGTCCCAGACCCGGTGGCTTAAACTCACGCCGGGCACGTGTGTGTGCATGCCCAAGATCCCGAGAGGAGAATGGAGGAGAAGGGATTGTGGTGTGGCCAGCCATCCCCCCAGGGGGTGAGAAGCGATTGTGGTGTGGCCAGCCATCCCCCCAGGGGGTGATTTCTCGCCTTCTATCTCTCTCTGTCTTTCTGCCAAGCGCACGCGCCCTATAGCAAAAACCTCTCAAAAAAAAAAAAAAAATCAGTCAGGAAGAGAGAAGGAAAGGGTTCTTCAGGCAGGGGCCCCTTACAAAGAAAAGGTCCAGGTTAGAGACAAGATGGCACAGTGCACGTGAGTTTTGAGGGACAGGACCGTCCTGAGGAGGGACAGTGCCTCCGAGGGAGCTGAGCCCAGGACAGACCTGATGGTCACTGCTGTGGTTTGGATATGGTTTGTCCCCCAGGGTTCATGTTTTACATCCCATCCTCAGTATAATGGCACTGGGAAGTGGTGAGGCCTAGTGGGTGGTGATTGGATCATGGAGGCTCCAGTGAGACTGAGCTCTAGCTTTCAAGAGGAGGAGTTAGTTCCCAGGAGAGCAGACTGTTATGAAAAGCAGATGGCTGCCTCCAGCTGGCTCCCTCTGCATGCTCCCGCCATCCTCGCTGCTCTTCTCAGCCCTATGCTGGCCTCATGCTTTGGCTCTTTTAGCCGCTAGAATGAGGAGTCAAGTAAACATCTGCTCTTCATAAATCACTTACAGAAGTCTCAGATACTTCCATAAGCCACACAATGGACTGAGATAGCCACTCTCAGAGGGAGTGTCTGGAGGGCCCCTCCGTTTCGATCAGACAAGACTACCTTGAAGCCTGGCTCTCTCCCAGTTTTTCAGAGCTGGGAGACTCCTTTGGGAGAGGACACTTACTGAGCACTTGCTATGGCCAGACACCCATCTCTGCACACCGTGGCATTAACTGACTGAGTTCTGGTAACAAGCCTATGCTGTCAGAACTATTAACCTCACTTCCCAGAAACTGAGGTGCAGAGCAATGACGTCCTCCTGGGCTCCACCAAGGTGAAGGTTGGGAGTCGGACTCGCCGTCAGTCTTAGGGCAGTGTGTGACAATTCTCACTGTGCCCGAAGTCTTACACACCATCTCCGGGTTGACATCCCAGGGCAGTAAGTAGGCCCACCGAGCCCCACGTGAGCAAGGAAGCTGGGGGACAAACAGGAGTCCCCAGTCCTGACCACCACCCAAGCCTGGCTCCACCCTGTCCTCTCTCAGGTCCTCCTTACCCACATATCTTCATCTCAAGGCTGGAAGGTAGAAGCTGCAGGCTTACCCGCCTCTCGTTGGAAGAGCCGCTCATGTTAACCCCACAGGCCACGTCAGGTCTGGGGAAGGCTTCTGACCAGCCGTCCTGCGTACAGTTTCGAAACATGGAACCTGTAGATGCCAATAGTCCTGTGGGTGAGCATTGGAGACAGGGCACTGTTATGTCTATAGTCTATCTACTGTAACATGTAAGTACTACAACTATGTCATAGTTGGAGACACTGAGGCACACCGTGGCTAGATAACTTGCCTAAAAGCACACCCTAGTAAGTGGGGGAAAGAGGATTTGATACCTGGGGCTCAGCTTGGAACCTATACTCTTAACTACTCATTCCCTTTCTGTCTCCTGCCTGGAGCTTTTCTTGCCCAGGTCCTGCTGCCGCTGAATACGCAGGC